CCCCCCCCCCCCCCCCCCCCCGCTCCCACCATTCTGCTCTTTACATCTGTCCATGTGACGGCTCTAGATACCTCCTGCAAGTGGAATCACACCATGTTTACCTTATTGTCATTGGCTTATTTATTTCAGTTTGTATGAAACCTTCATTTAACAGGAATTTCTTTTAATGCTACATAATATTCCATGTGTGTGTACTTGTCTCTCAGTATACATGAGGAATTGATTTTAGGATCCCATGTAGATACCAGAATTTGTAGATGTTTAAATCCCTTGTAGAATGGTATAATATTTCCATATAACCTGTATGTATCCTCTTGTATACCTACAGTATCTTAATACAAGTGACTACTACGTAAATAGTTATTATTCTGTATTGTTTAGAGAATAATGACAAGAAAAAATGTCTGTCCATGTTTAGAACAGACAATATTTTCCCTGAATCTTTTCAGCCCATAAGTGTATCTCCAAACTCAGAACATGTAGGTACAGGAAAGTGACTGTCTCTCCTACACTTTGTTCGCTGTGAATGTAGATGTGCAAATAGCTTCTTGAGACACTCCTTTTAATTGCTCACTTTCCTTTGTGTACACTCAGGAGTGACATTGCTGGCCCATGTGACGGTTCTGGTTTGGTTTTGAAGATTTTAAGTGTCTCTTTTCTTTCCTTAGGTCACGTGGACTTCACTCTGGAGGTTGAGCGCTGCTTGAGGGTGTTGGATGGTGCGGTGGCCGTATTTGATGCCTCTGCTGGCGTAGAGGTAAAGCCGAAGCCAGAGTAAACACAGAACAACAGTGCAATTTATAAAATGTAGCATGTATCAGAATTAGTCAGTTACAATCCTTTATTTGGTAAATCCATATCAGTCAGACTGGTGGAAGGAAGCTGGAATAATGAAATGTCACCTCAGTTTTTCCACAGTGGAAGGAAAGTTAGTTTTTCTATAGAAAATGTATGCACGTTGGTGTGGGGAACCATGAGGAGCCTGGGACTCTGTTGATTTTAAACAGTGAGTTTCTCTGCATCTGTGTCATGGATTCTGTCAGAAGTCACAGTCACTAGGTGAGGGTCAGGGGACTTTATTAGTCTGCATGTGTTAACCACCAGAGTCAGCATCCCTCCAAGTCCTACTGCAGAGAGTGACGTGAGAGGAGTCAGATGCCAGCTGCTCAGGTGACATGGTAAGAACAGTGAAACACTTTGTCTTGTGCAGTTAGCATTCCTCTGTGTTACTCTGGAGGATAGACAATGTCTATTTTCTAGGGCAGTCAGCAAACCTAACTTTCCTCCCAAGGGAGACACTACCTGAGTAGATTGTTTACTATAGAACTATTCTTAAAAGATGGTGTAGAGAGGACAGTTGCACTTCTAGCAACACACGGAAACAGGAACAATTATCTCCTCACCGGTAACATAAAGATCCTTATCCTGGTGGTGGTGGAAGCATACACCTTAAATCCCAGCACTCAGAGACAGAGGCAGGTGGATCTCTGAGAGTTCAAGGGTAGCCTGGACTACAGGGTAAGTTCCAGGATAGCGCTGCACAGTAAAACCCTGTCTTGAAAACAAAACAAAACAAAAAACCGACCAGAAAACAGGTTTTTCGGAGGAGCTATAGCTCCTTTCCAGAGTATCTGCCAAGCCTGTACGAGAGCCTAGGCTTGGGAAAGTCCTGGAGGGAATTCTGACAATGGATCTTTCAATAGAGCCTATTGGTAGTAGAGGGAGTTATGCTGTTTTTATTGTTGTTTTTGTTTGGTTTGGTTTTTATTGCTTCAAAGAGGGTTTCATTATGTATCATGTATGCAGATGAAGCTGGGCTCAAACTCACAGAGATCCACCCTCTCTGCTTCCTAAGGACTGGGATTAAAGGTGTGTGCCACTCCCTGGTTTGTGCTATGTTTATAGGGGTGAGTTATACTATCTTTAGTGAGTATGCCCTTCAAAATTGCCTTTGTTGAATACATAATTCATATAAGTATTGACCTTAAAATTATTTTAATTAAGTTGTAAAAATCAGTATCTTTTTAAAAATGGGACAAATTAGCACAATACAAGATGCTAGGAAATATAAAACAAATGTGTACTGTACTCTTGCTCAAAATGTTTGACACCCATGTCTAATCATGAAACAATGATTAGTGAAATCTAAGTGAAAAGATGTATCAGAGACAACTACTTACAGCTTCTCAGAAATAAGACAAAAACAAAAAACCTTTTTTTTTTCCAGGACAGAATTTCTCTGTATAGCCCTGGCTGTCCTGGAACTCTGTAGACCAGGCTGACCTCGAACTCAGAAATCCACCTGCCTCTGCCTCCCAAGTGCTGGGATTAAAGTCATGTGCCACCACTGCCTGGCCAAAAAACCTTTTAGATGTAAGAATCATAAATGATTAAGGGGAATCCTGGAGAACTATTCTAGATAAAAGGATTTTAAAAAATCAAGAAAATGAATGTATTTTTAAATCCCTGGTTAGATCCTAAATATAAAATGAATCAGAAGAGATCTTTGAGGAAAACAGAGAAATTTGAATTATACACTATGTGAAAATGTTATTTTAAGCTATGTTAATCTTAAAATGTTCGGAGTGTGATCATTATAATTGGTTCTTTAGGAGAAGACTCTTATTTGGAAGTACATGCAGGTATCACCATATCGCCAACCTACAGTCACGACCCAGCTATATCCATTATGTATTTGGTCCGTATGCAGGGCTTTTGAAAGGGAGCTATCAACATGAGATTACATTTTACGTGCTGAAGAATGCTTGAAATCCAGAAGAGCAATAGCAACCATTGATGACGATGGCCCAGCTGCAGCTCACAGTTGTTGGTTCAGTGACTTTAGAAGACTGTTTGACAGTTCTATAGAAAGTTATATATGCATCTACCCTACAACCCAGTAGCTCTGTATCTTTTTCCCAGGGAATGGACCATTTATTAACCAGGGATTTGTTGAGAATGTTTATAGAGGCTTGAATGACAGCAGCTCCCAGCTAGGAGCTATGTAAGTGTGTGCTCACTGACTGATGGAGAAGCTGCTCTGTCTGAGTAAAGGGATGAGAAATCAGAAGCTATAGTCATGTGAGACTCAGGAATAGGCAGGATATGAACCTGTGATGACCTGGAGAGGCAAATCTGGAGAGATAGAATGTTCTGTGTATTAATCTGAGTTACATAAGGTCTATTTCAAAATTATCTATATGCTTAGTCTGTGAATTTTGTTGTATATGATTTTGCCTGAGCAAACAAAAAGCTGAACATTAGAATTTTTAAGGTTTTTAGGCTTAAGGATTCAGTGAAGTACAGATGTTTTAAAACAACCAGACTATATTTATAAATTTAACATGTGCAGGAATAAAATAAATTAGAGAAAAAGCATATGTAAGAAGCATTTCTTATATGTAAGCATATAAGAAATTCTTATAAATATAGGTCTATTCTTCACCTTTCCCTATTGGTTCACATGAACATTCAGATACTTAAAAGTGCTTTTATTATATTCTCATTTATTCCTCAAGGCAAAAATCCATATTTTACATATAAAAAACCCTGACATTAGGAGATGTGGTGGCACCTGCCTGTAATCTCAGCAGTTGGAAGGAGGATGGAGGAAGATCTGGAGTTTAGAGTCAGCCTTGCTATGTAGCAAGGTCCATGCCATCCTGGGCTTTCTGAGACCTGGTCTAAAAAAATAATATTTAAAACAAATTAGCTCATTATTACATATTGGAAAAAATGAGGCAAGATAAAAAGTAGGTCTTTTAGTTGTAACGTAAGTTCTTTCCTGAGAGCTCTGGATATCTCCCAGATTCTAAATCACCTTGTCTGGGAACTTAGTTTACTAAACAGAAGCACTGGTCTTAAGCAGCGTGAAACATCTTCCAGTCACTTCACCATATCCTGTTCTTTTCTCCTGAGAGCAAGACAGGGTCCCTGGAAATGAACTGCAGGGGTTCTTGTTCTCTGCCAGCATCATGTCCAGTTCCACCTCACCGCAGATTCATAGATCCAGTCACCCTGTGTCTTGCAACAGCCACAGACATTTTCTCTCATTTTTGCTTTAGGCCCAGACTCTCACTGTGTGGAGGCAAGCTGACAAACACAAAATACCCCGAATCTGCTTTCTTAACAAGATGGATAAGGCTGGAGCAAGGTATTTTCAGACTACTTTGTAGGCTGTTCCTGTTACAAAGCAAAGGCAGGAACTCAGGGTTTAGAGCCTAAGTTTAGAAAAAGCAATTTTTCCTTATAAAGTATAATTATTCTCCGGACGCTTAGCGATTTAAAATACTTTCAAAGCAGCTCAATTGTAGCTGAGATCAACTGAGATCTGCTAAGTGTCGAGCCATCTGGGTCTAATGTAGCACATTTTGTACAACCCTGATGGAGTGCTGAGTCTTGCTGTTCTGTGCGTCTCTTTGGAGCTCCACAGCATAGCACCCTTGCTCCTGACGGCTGCGGTGGTCTCCTGAGTGCTAGAGTTAGAGAGTAGGGCTGGTTCTTGTAGTCAGCTCAGAGAATGGGGTCTTTGTACATCTTCTGGTTTTCTTTAGATAGTATTAGGCCCAACAGAAGGCCCTGGGAAGGAGAGTGTCCTGTATGTAAGGCAGATGATGATCAGTGCTGAGCTGAGCTCAGCCATCACCAGAATGATACATTGTCCTGGCGACATAGCGCTGAGTCAGAAATAGATGAAGGATTCGGTGAAATGTGAACAGAAATGAGTCAAGAACATTAAGGATTGTGGAGGAAATATGGGAAGACATCTTGGTCAGTGATAAGAGTGTGGTAAAAATTTAGCTGTCCTTCCCCAAGACTATCTATCTATCGTGTGCCCTGTGGTTATGTGGCTTTCTTGGCAACTTAGTTTAAACTTCCCTTGGTTACTAATGGTGCAGCTAGGCTCAAGTTTGAACCTTTCCTATTTGGGATTTCTTGTAGTCAATAAAAGTACTCATTGACTGACTTCAGTGTCTGTAGTGATGAGGGTAATGCCTGGATACTAGGCTAGTTCTCAGAGATGTTGGGGCCATGTACATGTATATATAATTCTGCCTGTGTGCTAACAATAGCATTTGTACCATAGGTAGCCAGCCCGAATGTTAGCATAAAAGCTAGCACCATAACATAAGATCTGATACCTAAGATTAAAACAGAACATCGACTAGTCAGTCTGGGTCTTAGAAGAGAACCAATAGTGTATGTAGCTATAGAAGAAAATCCTTAATTCAAATGAATTCTTTCATTTAACTAATTAATTAACTGTGTGGCCTTTATTAGTATTAATATTAAATCTTGGTTATATGAAGTTTGCAGTGATAATTGCTTAGACTTGCATGTGCTGAGATAACGGTGACTACTCAATTGCTATTATCAGATATCTTTAAGATACTGCCCCGTGGGAAACCCATGTAGTGAGCAGTGTGGAGAATAAAGGGTTATTTTAGAGAACATTCTTAAACCTGTTTTGAGAGGTTTTTACTGTTTCTAACAGGTTGCTCTGATTTTTACAGTTTTAACTATGCAGTTGAAAGCATCAGGGAGAAGTTAAAGACAAAGCCCCTGATTTTACAGGTAATTGGTTAATTAATACCACATTCTGATAGTTCCTTATGAGTTGATTGTAGCATGTACACTTTTGATGAATACTCAAGTGATAAGTAAATACAGCTAAAGATTTTGATTGAAATAGTGAGGTAAGAGTTGAGGAAAGCGGTGTACTGGTAAGTGTTGTCACCAGCATGGTGTAACCACATAAAGCTCACTCTAACTTACAGCTGCCAATTGGTGAAGCCAGAACTTTCCACGGAGTGGTGGACGTAGTAAACAAAGAAAAGCTTGTTTGGAATTCTAACTCTGATGATGGAAAAGACTTCGAGAGAAAGCCGCTCTCTGAAGGGAGTGATCCGGACCTGCTAAAGGACACGATCGAAGCAAGGAACGCCTTAATTGAACAAGTAAATACATTAGTTTAAAATTCTGTGTTCACTAACTTTTGGATATATGTATTGTGAAGTTTTATATACAATTACGTATGTAATATGTAAAATATAGTAAATGAAAATTAATACCATTGTGTCTGCCATCCACAAACAAAGGTGAAATAGTAACTGTGTTTCCTATTTATCTGTATATCCTTTTTAGTTGTTTTTTCCTTTTAAGATTAATTTATTCATTTATTTTTGTTTGTATGACTGTCTTTCCTGGATGTGTTTGTGTTTACCGTATGTATGTCAGGTGCCCAGGGAGACCAGAAGAAGGTGTTAGGATTCTTCGGAACCGGAGTTATCAGATGCTTGAGAGCAAAGGCGCTGTCTCCCTGGCCCTGGTTTGGTTTTGTTGTGTGTGCTCAGAGTTGAACCTAGGACTTGTTAGATGATAAGCATGTGCTTTACCCCTGAGCTGCACTCCCTGTACCCAACATGTTATTTCAGTGTCAGCATTAGTTTGCATACTCTGTCCTGCTGTGTGGAATGATGCTGTTTATACTTTCTCATTGTACATTGCGACGGAGCTGGTCACTGTTTGTACGTGGAGTGAGGGTTTAGTGTTAGTGATGTATGGTGTTCTGATACATGATTACAGTGCATTTATTGTCTGCTTCCCATTGTTTTGACTTGAAGTTGTTTTTCTTTTTTGCTAGAAATAATGTTGCTGAGTATGTTGTGGCATACATCTGAAATCCCATTACTTCTCGAATTGAAGCAGGAGAATTTAGGGTCAGCCAAGGCTAAATAGTGAGTTCTAGGCCAACCTAGGAGTATAGTGACCTTTCTCAAAGAAATCGGGCAAACAGAAACCATGCTCTATCTCCTGTGCAATGTGGAAAATGTTTCCTGAACTTTTAAAAATAGAATCCATGTATCAAGGAACCTGCCTGTCTTCTACTTTATCAAATGTCAGATTACTTAGAAAAATTAAAGCCATCAATTTATTATAGTTACTAGATAGCTTAGCTCTGCATCAGTTCTCAACACTTCAATAGAACACAGCAAGATTGTTATCTGGTAATGTTAGACTTCGGTGTGCAGCTTGGAACAGACAACACCAGACCAAACGGTTCCATAGGGGAGGGGGTTTATTTAGGGCAGAGGGCAAAGGTATGGGGAGAAATGGGAGAAGATGGTGGAGAAAGAGGAGAGAGGAGAGAAGACCAGAAGTGGAGGCCGGCCATGACCATGTGGAGAGAGGGGGAAGGGAAGGGGCGAAGGGCTAGGAGAAGCTAGAGGCAAGAGAGTAAGAGAGTAAGAGAGAGAGGAGGAGGCAAGCAGCCCCTTTTATAGCAGGCACGCCTACCTGGCTGTTGCCAGGTAACTGTGGGGAGGAGCGTACCTGGGTGTTGCCAGATTACTGTGGAGGTGGAGTTTAGACAGAATACTAACAGGTAATATTTATATTATATTAGTATTTGTGGCAATAGATAGTACATGTTAGGCTTCTTGAAAAATATATATATATTGAATATATACATCTTTTTTTCACTTTAAAATTGAATTCGTCTAAATTTAAAACAAATGTTTTTAAGACATAGTCTTGACTATGTTGCCCAGATTTCTCTGGAACATACCATCCTACCACCTCATATTCTACCGTACCTGCTCAGTCCAAACAGATTCTATCAGCATTTTCTAACTTTATCTTGTATAGGTAGATATTTTTAGAGAAATTATTTGCCATTTAGAATTTTTAGAGTTTACTGACTTTATAACTAACATAATGTTACTGTTACTGGATAGTGGGTATTGAGGGCCTGGTGTTTGCTAAGTTTAGGGCTTTACATGTACTGTTTTATTCTTACAACCATGTGGTTTCCCATTTTACAGATGAGAAGTCAGACTCTCAGCATGTTTAAGTACGTTTTGCTGCTAATAAAGGGCAGAGCAGGGATCTCAACGTAGGACAGAATCAGATCAGAGCTCAAACTGCTTCCACCTTGCTAGACTGCTTCCTCCTCTTCCTCTTTCTTTTCTTCCTCTGTCTCTCTCTTTCTGTCTGTCTCTCTTTCCTTCCTTCCTTCCTTCCTTCCTTCCTTCCTTCCTTCCTTCCTTCCTTTCTTTCTTTCTTTCTTTCTTCCTGTCTCTTAGGACACCTTTAGAGGTGAAGCGTCATGATGATAGTAATAAGGAATACTTATGGGCCACTAACTGCATGTTCTAAAAGATTGGTTAGAATTGGCTATTGATCGTCACTGCAGCCCTAAGAAGAAAGTGACCAGGACTAACATCGTGTTTTTCAGTGACAGGGTATGAGAAACAGAAGATAAAAATTGGTACATGGATCCCTTGCACAAATTTTGTCTTGTGCCAATCAAGTTTATTGAGAAGTACAACATCTTGTATAGTGTTCTCAGGGTGAAAAATGGCCAACATCAGCAGAGAGCTAAGTCAGACAAGTTGGCAAAGAGGACACAGCTGCCTTAGTGCTGACAACCACAGTCCAGGAGAGAGTCAGATCTCCAGAAACCACAGCCTGGACTCCTGAGGCCCGGGCTCCAGCCCCACACCAGCCCTGCTAAGACTACTTATGGATGAGGACACAGAACTAGTTTCCTTTGTCCTTTCTTCGAGGCCTCTGGGAAAGGCTTGGGTGGTCTGACCTACCACAGGAAGGCACTGTATTCATTGCATGAGTTAGGAAAGCAGGTAATGAAACTTGCCTGAAGTCATCACAGGCCAAGAATGGTCCAGTAGTTCTACTCAGTCCAGTTGTGGAAACTGCTTTGAACCTCGCACTTCATGCTTTCTGGGCAGGCTGGACTTGTTTCTGCTGTGTCTTCTGTACTTACACTTTGGTGTTCTCGCCGAGCTTGAATGTTTTGCTCCTTTGCACTATCACCCGTAATTGAAACTGTTTTAGAATTATGATCATGATTTGTTTTTATTTTTTGTCTGAGGTAGAGTCTCGATTTCTAGCCCAGGCTGCCTAGAAATGTGCAGTCCACCAGCCTCAGCCTCCTAAGTGCTGGGATTGCAGGGGTGTGCCGTTATGCCTGGCCTGTTTTATTACTTTGTTGTTAGCTGAATTATCTGTTTCATTTATGCCGATGGTTATGAGAAGCACAAACTAGCTAATTACAGTTGTATTGTTAACAGCAACTCAAGTACCTTACTTCCTCAGTACGATAGGAAGGAAGTGGGAAGTGTAGTGATCACTGTGCATTCGTATGCTAGAGGAGTACCCGGTGACACATGCTATGAGCTAAAAGCCCCTGCTTTATCCCCAGACCAGCAGTCCCATGTGTCATGGTCACTGTGATTGCCTTAGGCATTTTCTCTCTGTGGCACTGAGTAGGTAACATAGAATTGAGTCCAGCTCTGACTCTCTGTGACTTCAAGAAATTCACAGCACACCTTCAATTTCCAGTTTTTTTCCTTTGGGGAAACAAAGCAAAACTGAACTGTGTTTTCAAAAGGTACAAAGAGTTGTTTGGCCTGTGTGTGACAGGTCATATAACTGACCTCACTGTTATATACTGCATAGACTGCATACATGTAAAGTTAGCTAAGGATGAAACTAATACAAGTTATACAAGTTTCTCTTTCTTTACAGGTTGCAGATTTAGATGATGAATTTGCTGACTTGGTTTTAAATGAATTTAGTGAAAATTTTGATTTGGTACCAGCTGAAAAGGTAATGTGTTATTTAATCATCTATACATAATTTTACTCAAGTGAATATGATTTGGTTTTTCTGTCTTTAGAGAGTATATAATGTGTGTTAACATTTTATGCTATTAAAAATAGTGGCTGAAAAATAAAAGTCACTGTGTCTTATAAGTACTTAATGCCAGCAACATATTATTTCCAGATATGTTTTACAAAGTTAGAAGTTGAATCATGTTTCCTTACACAGTTAGAGCCAGTTCATTTTCTCATAGCATGGCTCTTTAATGGGAGTCAGCAGGAGGGAATTATCCCAGTATTGGGAACCAAGCCACTACCTGGGTTGGTGTGGTCGTGACTTAGAGGAAAAGAACCTGCAACTGCCACTTTACTGCACCAGCATAATTCCTCAACACATTCTAAAACAGCCTTATGCCCCCAGATATGTATAGCTCCTATCATGCATCAAAGCCTCTCTGCATCATCCCAGGTGAATACAACACTTTTTCAATATTTTTAAGCACTTATTGTATCTAAAACTTTTCTACCTTCTGAAGCTTTGCTGTGTTTTCAGAGGCCTCACTGTAATACTTATAAAGACTCTGTTGAACAAGAGACAGCAGACATCCAGCATACTGGGAAGTGATTAGCGTTGTAAGAGACATAAATCCATGAAGAGTGATGGAGGTGTGGTGCGGAGCCTTTCACTAGGGTGTTAGGGGAAGCCTTTATCCGAGAGATCCTGGCAGGGACTGGTGAACTGTGCACAGATCCACGTTCACACTCTCTTTGCTTTTAGCTACAGGCTGCAATACACAGAGTAACACTGGCTCAGACTGCTGTGCCCGTGCTGTGTGGGAGCGCCTTGAGAAACAAGGGCGTGCAGCCCCTGCTGGATGCTGTGACCACTTACCTGCCATCACCTGAGGAGCGTGAGGACAGGTTTCTGTAAGTGTGTGACCACATTCAGTAAACTCATAGGGCTGGAAAAGCTGAGTAAGCCTTGTTTCATGAAAATACTTTAAAGCTGCCATTTAAAAAAATAGTGAAGAATATCTCTGTAAATGATACAGGGCCATAGTTAGTAATTCTCACTTGAAAAGACATTTTTGTTCTCTTTTAAACCTGTCGTATTTATAGGTAGAGTTATGAAGGTGGGTTTTTCCTGTGTGTGTTGATTCTGCCATCTCAGTTGGCTTTTTATTTTTTAAAAATTTGTTACTTATTTAGTAGATATGTTTCTACTCATCTAGATTTCAGGATTTTTTCTATAGTCAAAATATTGGAGGAGGTTATTGTCTTCTCCTGCTGTCTGGCTCTGTAATAGGTCTCTAACGTCTGAAGTAGTATTAAGCACAATAGCAGAGAAGTGGGTTTTGTGATAAAAAGGACAGTAATAACTTCTCACATTTCGGAATTAAAAAGGCATGTGAAGTGAGCGTGGACTTCATGCCAAGAGGCCTGATCCAAGTGACTTAGCCTCACCTCAGTGAAAGATGGGCGATCGGACTCCTGTCTCCTAAGAGACACAAGTCCAGTGAGTTAACAATGTTGAGTAAGCATAAGGGGCAGGGCTAGCGTGTAGATGGCTTCCATATGTGTTAGCACCTTTAAAGGACTAGGAATAAGATGGGAAAGGCTACAGTTAGAGATGTGTTTAACTTTGACTCATGGACTTCCTTAAGACTGGTGACAGTATCATCTTTCCTCAGAAAAATGCACCTAATGGACAAAATTTGTCAATTTCAGGAATGAAGGGCAATTTAAAAACATATTTAAGAATCCCATTTCTGTGAACAAGCTTCAGTTTCTACTGTAGACTGATAGTATATTTCAGCTAGACACAAAGAAAAGTGAGACAGGCTGAAGCAGCAGTGGAGAGGACATTTGCTTATCCTCAGGAGACACCATGGTTTTATGACCTTGAAGGTATACTGTTTTTGGCTTTTCAAGACAGGGTTTCTCTGTGTTGCTCTGGCTGTCCTGGAACTCACTCTGTTGACCAGGCTGGCCTCGAACTCAGAAATCCACCTGCCTCTGCCTCCCAAGTGCTGGGATTAAAGGCGTGCACCACCACCACCCCGCAGAAGATACACTTTTTAAGGAGAGAGTTTGTGCAATGAAGATGCTTACAAATATGACAGTACTTGAAAGAGAGCCCATTTTTAGTTGTAGTTGTAAAGATTTATTGGTAAGCACCCATTAAGTATTCTAGTCAGTGATGGAAGAGAGGGTTGTAGAAATGTTACTCCCTGGGCCTGGATAACTCTGCTGAAAGGTGCATGAGATCTTTGGGAGGATCCTGCCTGATCTGTGCAGGTAGCTGGGCCTCTCTGATACCTCCTTTATCCTGCAGGCAATGGTATAAGGGCGATTTATGTGCACTGGCATTTAAAGTGCTACATGACAAACAGCGAGGAGCCCTGGTTTTCCTGCGCATTTACTCGGGCACACTGACACCCCAGTCGGCTGTCCATAACATTAACAGAAACTGCACGTAAGGAGAAATTTTGGTTATTTCCTAAAACTGCACTCATTTATTTCAAAATACTTTACTAATATAGATCATGGGTTTTATAGGGAGAGAATGAGCCGCCTACTTTTGCCATTTGCTGACCAACATGTAGAAATCCCTTCCCTGACTGCTGGAAACATTGCTTTGACAGTTGGGCTTAAACAAGTAAGTGACCTCGTGGGTTCCATAGCATATCATGTAAATGTAATTTTTAAATACTTTTATAATAGCAAAAAAAATCACAAATCAACTATATGTCTATTATATGATGGCATATTTATCAGTATAGTTAAATATCATGAATTTGCTAGAAAGAAAAATAGATTACAGAAGCCCACAGTCAGGATGGATATTGTCAAATAGCATTCAACTCCAAGTAAAGTCTAAAATTTATTTACAATTTTTTATTTTATTTTTATTCCTATAGAATCTTTGACTATTTGTGAGTGAGTGTGTTTGTGTGTGTAATAGAGAGACAGAGGAGAGGGAGAGGGAGGAGATCTCTCTGGAAGGGAGTTGGGGGTCAGGAAGAGAGATTCTCTGATCTCTGTTTCTCTGTCACTAAGTTTCCCTGGCTTGCCTTGGGCTTACTGGCTGGGCCTGGCTGGTCTCAAAGTCCTCTACCATGCTTGCTGAGTGTTCACCTATTTGGAGCATGGCAGAAAGTTTGATCCAGCTTTTCAACTGATCAGGTAGTGACGAAAGGTCTTTTGCTCAGGAGGGCTCTTTAGGACCAGGGTTTGGGTTTCTTTTGTTTCCAGTTCTGCTCTCAGCCCACAGTTCATCAGTGCTTGCACAAAAGAGGCATGGCATAGACATTTATAGGGTCAGTGGAAGGACGTACTTGGTGTCAAGTTGGGTTTGAGTGGGTTAAAGCTGAGGACTTCTTTTAATTCAGCTTATTCAAATGTTGTTTTCAGTAAACTTTGGCATACCTTATTGGGATACAATTGTTACGTTAACCTTTTAGCTCTTCATGATTAACCGCAGGTTTCAGAACTGTTTAGGAGAAAACATCCATGGTGTGAATTTTGTACCTGCAGTACTTTTCAGACCAGGTTTCTCTGTTTAGCCCTGGTTGTCCTGGAATTCTGTAGACTAGGCTGGCCTCAAACCCAGAGATCCACCTGCCTCTGCTTCCTGGGTGTTGGGATTAAAGGTGTGTGCCACCATGCCTGGCTGTACCTAATCTGTCTCCTCTATCTTCCTAATGGCAGTCCCTGCCCCTTGTGCGTATTTGAAGGAGTACTGCAGTCATTTGGAGAGCTGTCTGCAGAGGGAAACCAGCAGAGCCTTGAGCTGAACAGAGCATAAGTGAATTGCAGTTTTGAAGTTTACATACAGTCTGTACCGCTTATGGGTGTCTCTCATGTTCATTTAAAATACTACTTTGTTTCCATGGAGCTTTTATATAGTGTCAGGGTGTGTCTGAGGTTTTCGATATTGAAGTTAATAGAGAATTTTCTGTAAAATATTAAATTCTTGTGTTAAACTGTGCATGTGTGTGTGTAAGAGAGTATTTCTGTGTCACTAATAGAGAGGTTAAAACACTTCGTGAGCTTTTACCTTGCTATGATGGGAAATTCAGGAAGATATACTTTTAGGCAGATATACTTTTGCTAATAAATTTTGTTGTGTATTGTATGTTTCATTATGTATTAGAATTTATTACAATGACAGTTTAGATTAGAGTTCTTGCACAAGTTAAAGGAGCCTTATATAAAGGTGTAAGATTTGTGAATTATTTCTCTCTAGTTTGAGTGAAGAACATGCTACACTAGTGTTTTGTCCTGTGGTTTGGGTGGAAGATGAGTGCTAGCCAGGAAACTGTCCTGTGTGCTTGCAGACTGCTACTGGAGACACCATAGTCTCGTCCAAGTCCAGCGCACTAGCTGCAGCTCGCAGAGCCGGACAGGGAGAACGGAAGCACGGAAAGAACAGTGAAGCAGAGAGTCTGCTGTTGGCTGGGGTGGAGATCCCAGAGCCTGTCTTCTTCTGCACCATAGAACCCCCATCAGTGGCTAAGCAGCCAGGTATAAGCAGTGTTGGCTTTTCAGTTTGCTGCTGTTTGTAGCCTGTGAGAAGTAGTTTCAGTGAGTCCTCAAAAGACTTCCTGTGGGACAGAGTTAAATTTTACTTGTGTTTACTGGTCAGCATTTCTTGTGCTTGGTCTGGGTTTTACTTGAGTCGCTTTGATTTGTTTGTTTTGTTGTTGTTTGGGTTGTAATTTTTTGAGTTAGAGTTTCTCTGTGTAGCCTTGGCTGTCCTGGAACTCACTTTGTAGATCAGGCTGGCCTCGAACTCAGAGATGCACCTCTGCATCTCTGTGCCTCTCCATCTGGATTAAAAGTATGTCCCACCACCGCCCAGCCTTGTAATGATTTTTATGAAATTCCTGCTCTGCCCCCCTAATGTGTTAGATTAATTAGGACATGATTTCTTGCATCTACAAGATGAAGCAGTCCTGCTTTCCTGAAGATGTTTGCCCATTTTTCATTCTGTTTTCTCTTCTTTCACCTTGTCTTGCTTACATTGTAATGGCTCCCCGAAACTCTAGGTGTGCACTCAAGCATCAGCACCTTATGAGGCTCTCAGTGAGTTCTCTTATGAACACTACCTAAAGACAGACATTCAAGTGTCCTTTAGTCCTCTTATAAACAACTTGGAAGCAGAGATTATGGGAGATCAAGAGCAACCTTTATTTCCTCTCCATATCCCCTAAGATGCAGTGAGAGAACTATCTGGCCAGGTGGGGTTGTAGTTCACCTAGCTAGCTAGAGTGCACATGAAAGAAAGTGAAGTGCAGATGTAAGACCCCAAGTAATGAAAGAAACTGGGTCTTTTCTTGTCCAGTTGCTGCCAGTAGGTCAAGTTCCAAGAGGTCTAATGCTCTCTCTGGTGCCCTCAGTACCAGCCAGTTATGTTGTGCATAATATATGTGTATATTCACACACACGGCTCTCATACAGAACACATTTTTTTAAAAAAATGTAGCAAAATCCCAAATCTGAAAGCGTGAAATTTGAACATTTTTCATTTCAAACATTTAAGATAATAGATGTCATACTATATTGCCATTTAAGCATGAAGTAATATAGAAAATATTAATGCGGTCTAGAGAGATGATACCACACGGTAGTTAAGAGCACACTCTGCTCTTGCAGAAGTCTGGGTTGAGTTCTCAGCACCTAGTGCTGGATCATGGTGACTAGCAACATCTGTAACTCCATTTCCAGAGAATGTGACACCTTCTGGCCTCCAAGGACACCAGTATGCAAGTGGTGCACATACATACAAGCAGTCAAGGTACTCATACACATAAATCTTTGTAGAGTACTATTTTTTCATATTAAGTCTTTAAAATCTGGTGTGTATTTTTCCTTTATAGCACCTATTAATTCAGACCAGTAACACTTAGAAATGGACAGCACAGCTCTAGAAAGCTTGATTTATATACCTAAGAGACAATTGAATGAATATAGTTGATAAAGATTAACTCATTAATCTGTAGTTCATCTCTTTTCTTCAACTGCACTTTCATTATTGTCTTACTCCATGTAGCATATTAAACACAAGTGATTCATTTTCTCTCTCCTATGGTTGAGGCCATAGAGTCAGCTCCTCATTGTAGCTGGTGTTTCTGATGTCATAATGAGATATATATATATATTTATATATATATATATTTTTTTTTGGTCAGCTCCTAGATTTGTCTTTATGCAATAAAACCAGGTGAGGTTACTGTCCCTATAAAGCCCTTCAGTCACTTCCCAGTGTAAAGCCAGACCTCTTAGCATGGCCTATCAGAGAGTGCATGCTCTCTGGAGTTGTCTTACCTCGATTTAACCTCTGCAGGGCATTTATTGGCTCTTTGAAATTTTCTTGTTTTTAATCAATGTACCTGCTTGTTAATATATGTTCCCTACTTGAAACTTATTGTTGTCACCTAGAAATGAAGTGAGGATGACAGGTATTGTTTAATCACTCAGATTTGGATCATGCCTTGGAACGCCTTCAGCGTGAAGATCCCAGTTTGAAAGTGAAACTCGATCCTGACTCTGGACAAGTATGTATGCATAAGTTTCTTTTCATGTATGTTATCATTCTAAATAAACATTCTCTTCAGTTCCCTAAAATTACATTTCACATATACTGCTGGCTCCCCATCGGTTTGGACTTTCTATACCACAGGCTTCTGTGAAGTTTGAGATATGGTTCGAGTCTTCTGTCTCTTCACTGATGCTTATGAAAGCAGCACACTAAAGGAGTCAGGAACCAGAGAAGCCAGTATCTGTTGTGCGCATGCTCAAACTAGCCTAGGGGTGTCACTGCCTACAACATTTAGGAAACATCTGTGTAGTTGAGAGAGGGTTTAGAGAGAGGTTATTTTCCCCATTCTTAAGGCATTATCTTCAGCCATAGTATCAAACAGCTGTCTGCTTCGTCATTCAGAAAAGAGTTTTAGCTGGATAGTGCTGGTGCTTGCCTTTAATCCCAGCACTTTGGAGGAAAAACAGGTGGGTCTCTGAGTTCTAGAGCAGCCTGATCTACAAAGTGAGTTCGAGGACGGCCAGAGGTCCATAGTGAGACTCTGTCTCAAAAATATCACCACCACCACCCCAAAAAAGAAAAGAAAAGGGGTTTAGCCAGGTTTGGAGTGTCTCGTGCCTGTGATATGATAGGAATGAGTCATATGAGGTAATATGATTGCTACAAGTTTGATGTGAAGTTGGATGGCACACAAGTGAAACCCCATCAAAAATCAAACCAGGGGAGCTGGAGAGATGGCTCAGTGTTTAAGAGCACTGACTGCTTTTCCAGAGGTCCTGAGTTCAATTCCCAGCAACCACATGGTGGCTTACAACCACTTGCAATTCCAGTGCCCTCTTACAGCTTTTTAGGCATCAGGCATGCCAGTGGGGCACAGACATAGATGCAGGCAAAATACCAATACACATAAAATATTAAAAACCAGGCCCAGTGAGATGGCTCCGTGCATAAAGGCACTGGCTGCACAGGACTAAGACCTGGATTCCATCCTGGAATCTAAATAAGCTGTCCTCTGACCTCTATCTATGCCTCTCCCCTATATCATATAGAAACATAGCACAATACAACAATCATAGATAATAATCCAGCTGCATAGAGAAAGAAGGTAAAAGGCGTAATCCAGAAGTTGTAAGCATTGATTGTACTCCTGTTGCTTCTGCCAGCTTTGGTATGGGGGTTAGGAAGTATATATGACCTTAACTTGATGCCACTTACTCAGCTGGTCATCAGACTGGCATGAACAGTGCCCAAAAGTTCATTGCGTTTGACTTATTATTCTAGTCAGAAAGTCTATTTTTATGTAGGAGCCCTCAGAAAAATTTCCAAAGAAACTCAGTTGTAATTAATAGAAAATTACTTAAATATATGAACATCATTCCTTTTTATACTTTGCATTAATTTTTTCCTATATATAGTATTTTGTTTTATTTTATTTTTTTTTCCTTTTCACTATTAGACTGTCCTGTGTGGTATGGGGGAGTTACATATTGAGATTATTCATGACCGTATCAGGAGGGAGTATGGCCTAGAGACCTATCTAGGGCCTCTGCAGGTGGCATACCGGGAAACCATCTTAAACTCAGTTCGTGCCACAGGTAAAAAATAAAACATTTTGGGTGTTCTGGGTTTGTTTAGTGTTTAGCTGTGTAAACAGAGGTCACAGTTTCTAGTGTCTCCCATGGTTTTACTGTGTGTATTTAAAAAAAAAAAATTATGAATACAGGTGGCCTGGTACCACTGTTGGTACCATTTGCATCAGACAGATGTGTTTTCTGGTGGCCGTGGGACAGTGACGTAGATGGTTTGTCCCAGCCCTTACTACTGAAATGGATAATAAGAATTTGAAGTAAATGAATTATATTTAGTATATGAAGTGTGTGAGTAATTCCGCTATTTAATGCAGTGTTCCTATCCTGATGGCATTCTAGAGGAAGTGCAGTTTTTATGTTAATGTCCTGAATGTAAGTGCTTAGGTTTACTATATTTGGTTCCCTTAAGCAAAATAACAATGATCACTATTCACCTGAAGGTGAAGAACTGTCATGAACAGTTTGTGATGTAATGCAGGCCAGAAATGTGAGGATATCTAAATTTCCTTTTGAAAACTTGTTGAGGGCTGGAGAGATGGCTCAGCGGTTAAGAGCACTGACTGCTCTTCCAGAGGTCCTGAGTTCAAATCCCAGCAACCACATGGTGGCTCACAACCATCCGTAATGAGATTCAATGCCCTCTTCTGGTGTGTCTGAAGACAGCTACAGTGTACTCATAAATAAAATAAATAAATAAATCTTAAAAACTTGTTGAGTCTAGTTGACCACATTTGACTGAAACTTGAAAAGTTAACCAAATATAACTGCAGTGACACAGAAACTGTGCTACTGGACTGTGTGTGAGGACACTGAAGACAGCAGATGTGCAGAGGGCACACAGTGAGGTGTGAGAAATTTTAAGAAGGATTTAATGTTTAATTCAATGTCATAGATGGGTTTTTCTTCTGAAGTTCTGAAGGAAGCAGAAGGACTCAATTTCAAGGGCATCCCACAGTAAGGTACTTTACAAATAAATGCTTTATAAAAGGAAACAAAGGTCCCAAGATTACAGGAACCAGCTTGCCAGCTTGAAAAATACACTCACTGTCAAATACGGAGTCATTAAACATCCAGCGAGAGGATGAAGTAGAGGAAATGCCCACTAAGTATGATGTGAAATTATCATTCATATATATGGTCTCCTGTATTTATATGAGACCATGGCTGGGATTGGAGCACTGCCTCAGGGAAAGCAAATGGCAAAAGTAAACAGATGTGCAGAGAACACGCAGTGAGGACACTGAAGACAGCAGATGTGCAGAGGGCACACAGGACACTGAAGACAGCAGATGTGCACAGGACATACAGTAAGGACACTGAAGACAGCAGATGTGCAGAGGGCACACAGTGAGGACACTGAAGACA